CTCACTTCCCCACATGCATGAGTACAGAATTAACGATTTTTCTTCATTGAGGGTGGGTTTCAATGAAATTTTACAGACGCGTGTATACATACGTCAATTAACATTTGGTTGCTCAACTCAAAAAGGGAAATTTTAATGTTCGTTAGAAAATGAAAAAAAATCTATATTATAATGATAATAGGTCAATTTATAAGACGCAACAAACAACTTGTGTTTAAGTACCAAATACTAATAATAACAAAAACAGCAACAGCAGCAACCGCAACAACAATAATTAATAATAATAATAATAATTAATAATAAATAAAATAATAATTAATAACATTGCAGCGTTCGTAAAATGTTTGTCACTGGTGCTCGGAACAGTCACAAAAGTGGGGGGGGGGGGAGGAAGTCCCCCAATAGAAAAAGTGGGTGGGGCAATGCCCCCCCCCCACCGCTTCCATTGCCTTTGAGTAAACGTACAACCCCACCCAATGCAGTACAGGGCTGATGTATATGTCAATAAACTATAAATACAGTTCTGTACCTTTATGCCTATGGGAGTTAAGGAGGAAATCAACAAATTTATCTACATACAGTACAATGATAACAAAAGGAGCGGTCCCGAAGTGAGTAGATATTTCATAAAAATGTATTATAAATACTGTAAATTATTATATTTTTGAATCTTGAATCTATGTGTTTACTCGTATCCTAATGGCATCTAATTCTTGACTTCAGGAAAATTGGTCATCCTGAATCTATTTATTTATAATACATTTTACATTAATACATTCTCCTTTACTCAATTTTTGTACACTGAAATATATATTATTAAAAAAACAACAAACAAAACCCCTAATAACTAACAGAATGAATTCTGACCTGAAAATTCTACCCTTCCGTGGGAGTCACACCCACTTTTATTTCAATCTTATTTGTAAGAATATTTTTTAAATTTTCCATTTTCGTAATATACATAATTTAAATAGATAAGGCCTATTACATTACAATATATAATTATGTGATGATAGCAATAATAAATTGTACAATTTTGTATATTATTACTTATAAAATAAGTAATAATTTTACTCTTCCATGGGAATCTTATTTGTAAGAATATTTTTTTAATTTTCCATTTTCTTAATATACATAATTTAAATAGATAAGGCCTATTACATTACAATATAATAATAATTATCATGATGATAGCAATAATAAATTGTACAATTTTGTATATTATTACTTATAACATAATAAAGTAGTAATTTTGTTTTTTAATTTAATCTGATGTTCTTCAATATGCAGATGTGTGTATTATTGTATTGCCTTGCTAAGAACACTTTAACAATATTCTGTATAGGCCTACTATTAAATCACTAAGAACAAGGCAATTCAACAATTGCCTTGCTAATAATAATAATAATAATAATAATAGATGGATTTATATAGCGCAAATAAACGGTCTCTATGCGCTAGACAATAGTGAAGTCAAGAACACAAAAGAAAAAAGCTGGAAAAAGAAACAAAAAAAAAAACAACAAACAAACAAAAAGCACCAAGCTAGCACCCAAACCGAAGTGTGGGGTTACACTAAAACACTATAAAATAAGAGTAACTTTTGGAGTTATCGCGTTGACCTCGAAAAGTACTACTACCATGTTAAAATTGAATGACCCACCAACCATCGTATCCAAAACAAGCTGTCTCGCTTCAATATCCCATAATATTTTCCCCGAAGGTCTCCGGAATAAATAACAATGAATATTTATGAGATTTTTAAATTTAAACGAACGTGATTCGTCAAAATTCGTAGGTCATTTAAAAAACCGCCAAACACTTCACTTCCTTGCTTACATGTATAGCGCCCTCATAAACTCTTTATTTTGAAAAACAGTGGATCTAAACTATAGAGGGGTGTGACTTAATGTCTATTATGGCTATGTTCTCACACGGCTGCTAACGGTTAGCAGGACCCGGATCCTGCTAACCGTTAGCTGCCGTGCGTCCATACGAGAAAATCCCGATCCGGATACCAAGAATATGATGATCGAATCACTGGCCAATAAGAAACTGGAAATTGTAAACGCCTACGTGTGATTGGTTGATGATAAAAACGCGCTCAACTTGCTAACCGATAGCGGATCCGGATACTGCTAACGGTTAGTGCTAACAAATCGGGCGTTCTCACACAGGTGCTAACGGTTAGCTCCCGATCCGATGATGATGATGATTATGATGACGATGATAATAATGATTTATTTATTTATTTAGGCGCCACTTGCGCCAAGGATGATGATATTGATGATGATATAATGATATACAGTAAGGATGATGATGAGAGCAGGTTGATGTAGATGTCACAGACATCTGTAGCCCTTCTTATTCAATCAAATGAATAAATGGTCTCCAAATAAATTTATATTTACTCCAGAAGTTTATTCAATCGTCATTCTAGAAATCTAAAAAGAGAATATATGCATGTATAACACAAAATAATACATTACAATATTGTATTCCAGTTCATGGTACAATCAAAATTAACAGGTGAACAAAATATGAATCTATTCATATATAAAATCGCTTCAAAATCATAAAATCATAACACAAATTAAAAACAATGCTATAGTAATAGTAATCAAGTGAGTATCTTACTTAAATATATTGAAACAATATAATGTTCCGTCACTTCAATATACTTTACTTAGCCTAAATATTCCTTGGAATATTCGTATAATTAAATGTTTGCTTTCTTATATCTATAAACATTTTAAGTTAGATAAGTCCTATCACAGCGTACGGTACTACTGTATTACAAGATACCGTGACGTCATAAATCCATTCAGCCATCCCGGCGAATGGAACACCATAAAAGCGCTAACATGGCTCTAATTGCAAACACAGGTATCAGGGGCGGAATTAAGGGGGGGGGGGCCAGCCCGGCCCCGGCCCCCTCCCCTTTTCGGAGGTAAAAACGAAAAAAAAAAGAAAAAAAAGAGAGAAAAGGAAAAAATGATGGCTAAGAATGCTTCAAATGTTATGTTCGGGCGTCTAGAACACAAAAATTTCGCGGGGGCATGCCCCCAGACCCCCTACGACAGTGTTGTCTCAATCGGCCCAACTTTCGGCCCCCCTTCCGGGCCCCCCTTTTGGACATTTCTGGATCCGCCCCTGGGTATCACCCTGGATTATGTATTACTGTACTTGATTGAGGAACATCAATCCTACCAGAGTAAATAAATTTAGTTTTATAAAATAACATGTCTAGTGGTATAATAGAAAATAGCTAATAATAATAATAAGCCATATATTCAATTCCCATTCCACACACATTCAATCAAACCATTGAACTACACATTTTCAAGCATTTATAATTTACAAGTGATTAACTTTCATTAAAAACACAAGTTAGTTTTTATACTTTTTGCTACGATAATTTAAATGGTTTGAAAGACAACGGCTGAAGTTACAACATGACCAATAATTAAAAATTTAATAACGGTTTAACTATTTAATGTTTTATTATTTGAATTATTATTATTAGTTCAGCACCACAAACAGTATGTATAAGTTCTACTGTTTTCTCTACTCTCTCCGTTCCACGCGCCTCAGGATATTGGTTAAGTAACAATTATTGTTGTGTCTTCTTAATAATGTGACCATTATAAGTATTTTTATAATAATAATAATAATAATAATAATAATTAATAATAATTAATAATAATAATAATAATAATAATAATAATAATAATAATAATAATAATAATAATAATTATACGGTAATAACAGCTAAAATACTAATACTAATAATTACAAACAACGAATACGGATTTAAAGTTTAGCGATAAATTAATTAAACAATATAGAAAATAGAATTATAATTAAACTTAAAAATTCAACATTGGTTATCAGCATAGCGTGATACAAGACATCATAATAAAATTGATCCCTTTATTAATCAGAGTATTTATTTAGCTTATCTCATGGTAAAGATATTTTTCGAAGTGATAAACAATACATATAGGCCTACAATTATTAAAACGATAGTAATAATATTAAAATATCAAAATAGGACGATATTTCATCATGGATATAACAATTAAAACGGAATTATTAAATGTTATGTTAAAATTGCAATACAACTATTCACTGGTATTCGAACAGCCTGGGTCACTGTCCCAATGCTTACAGTAGCCTATGCACATTATAACTGTGCTTTGCCTAAAACGTCCTTCAACATTCCTTTGCTTGGCCTTTAGCCTAAACAAAGGGCTACTAAATTTATAACTAAAACACAGTATAGTATTATACATCTATACATCTATACTAATCCGTTTTGTCTAATAATAACATAAAAATACTTTTAATTAAACTAAAAGTTAAACAATAATTAAAATACAAATCTTACCTAAAAAGAGCCAGTCGTAGAGGTCGGATTAAACATAAAATTCGAATTAATAAACGATGGAAATTGAATAGAGTTCTTATCGATGCGCTGGAGATGTGACAAGTAAGTAAGGAATGTGGTTACAGGTCCATGGGACCTTGGTGGTGGTCACAATAATTATCACTCTTAATGAGAAAAACAGTTAAAGTATTACTTTAATGGAAGAGGGCTCTATGTATACTGGTTCCCGTATTCATTGGGGTTACACATCAATGATAACCTTGATCTGCCTTTATAACTTGTTTAAACAACACTACTGTTATACGCGCTTTCATTTTTTTTTTAAATTAATGAATAATATACAATGAGTATCCAATATTTTATTTGGCAGCTGACAGTGTTAGTAAGCTATAGAAATATTGTGCCTCTGGTCGTAATATTGTGATCTTGTATCTCATGTTAAAACTGCAAATTGATCACTGAAATAAACATGCTAATATACCATACATTGGACCATCTCTGAACACACAACGCGCGGATGTGCCCAGGGCGATAATGGGAAAACCCAACTTAAGCGAGGTTACTGAAGAAAGTTTAATTATTGACTGGGAACTTATGTATTGGAGAAATTCTCTCTTATAGCACAATAGCATGTTATATTAAATATTTGAAGTTGATTAAAATACGTATTTACTGAGTGTGAAGTAATCTAAAATGAAATATACCACGGTTCTCAAATTTTGCTAAATAAACCGTAAATAATATGAGTTTTATAGTGTCTATAGGCCTATTGGTATACTTTTCGCGCCTTTCAAAGGCGGTTTTTGTTTTACGTTTATACTGAACGCCCTAATATAAACTACCACTAATATTGGAAAAGCGAATGGAACAAGCAATGGAAACGCGCGCAGACTGAGAATATGCAGTTATTGAATGAGATATTGGGCTTATTCGACTGGTTCATTCATTGAGTATGAATGTTCTTTGAGTATTATTTTCATTCGACTAGTTCGTAAAATAGTCTTCGTTGACAACGAAACGACCAGTCGAATACGGCCATTGAATAAAATATTTATTTGAAAATAAGCGATTGTAATAATAATAACAACAATAATAATTCCATTCTTTTTTTAGCGTAGGCCTATTCCGCAGAAAAAATCCAACAAGCAGTAAATAATTTTGACTTTATTTAAACTGAAAACAGTTCCGAAACATGTGCGCTATCTGTAGGTGTTGAAACAACATCGCTATTAAAATTTAAAGGGTGATAGGCGTATACAAAATGTAAATATAAATGTTGAAGTTTTGCATAATGCTTACCTCATTGAAAATGCAAAAATGGATTAGGCCTTAAATCGGATTTTGTTTAAAATATGATTATCATCATTTAGAATAGGCCTAGATGGATTTTTTACTTGTTTACAGACCATTCAAATTCAAATCCATACGACAAGAATTCTGGCACTCCTTGGACAAATCGATTAATACATCACACAATTTCATTTTACAAATGGTGAAAAATGTTCCACGAAAAGGCATGAACACAAGAGGCACACAATATAAC